GAGTTTGAGACCAGCCTGGCCAACATGGCAAAACCCGTCTCTACTAAAAGTAAAAAAATTAGCCAGGCATGGTGGCTGGTGCCTATAATCCCAGCTATTTGGGAGGCTGAGGCAGGAGAATTGCTTGAACCCGGGAGGTGGAGGTTGCAGTGGGCTGAGATTGCGACATTGCACTCCAGCCTGAGCAACAGAGCGAGATTCCATCTCAAAAAATAAATAAATAAAAATAAAATTGGCCGGTCACGGTGGCTCATGCCTGTAATCCCAGCACTTTGGGAGGCTAAGGTGGGCAGATCACATGAAGTCAGGAATTCGAGACCAGCCTGACCAACATGGAGAAACCCCATCTCTACTAAAACTACAAAATTAGCCGGGCGTGGTGGTGCATGCCTGTAATCCCAGCTACTTGGGAGGCTGAGGCAGGAGCTTGAACCCAGGAGGCAGAGGTTGCAGTGAGCTGAGATTGCGCCATTGCACTCCAGCCTGGGCAACAAGAGCGAAACCCCGTCTCAAAAAAACAAAACAAAAATAAAATGAAATGGACACTGGCCAGGTGTGGCAGCTCACACCTGCAGTCCCAGCACTTTGGGAGGCTGAGGCGGGAGGATCACTTGAGCCCAGGAGTTCGAGACTAGCCTGGGCAACATAGCAAGATGCCATCTCTACAGGAAAAAAAAAAAAAAAAAAATTAACCAGGCATGGTGGCACATACCTGTAGTCCCAGCTACTCAGGAGGCTGAGGTGGGAGGATCACTTGAGCCCAGGAGGTCGAGGCTATAGTGAGCTATAATGGTACCACTGCACTCCAGCCTGGGCAGTAGAGTAAGACCTTGCCTTAAAAAAAAAAAAAAAAAAAAAAAAGAATAAATAAAAATAAAATGGACACCGACTTGCAAGGCCTGAATCATGGATTTTTGTTTTGTTTTGTTCTGTTTGAGACAGAGTCTCACTCTGTTTCTCAGGCTGGAGTGAAGTGGAGCTCACTGCAGCCTCCGCCCCCCAGAGAATCGCGCCCTCTGTGATTCTCGTGACACAGCCTCCCTTGTAGCTGAGATTACAGGTGTGCGCCCCCCACACACACACTCGGCTAATTTTTGTATTTTTAGTAGAGATGGGGTTTTCACCATGTTGGCCAGGCTGGTCTTGAACTCCCGACCTGAGGTGATCCACCCACCTCGGCCTCCCAAAGTGCTGGGATTCCAGGCATGAGCCACCGCGCCCAGCCTGTGAGTCATGGGTCTTAAAGGGCTTGGTGCAGTGGGACTGTGGGATGAGGGGGGATGAGGCCTGGGATCACTGGCATGAGTGGGAAGAGGCCTGAGGCCCCCCTGGGCTCCCGGAGCATAGCCGGGGCTGTGACAAGACAGATGGAGTGGCTGGGCTGGCCCTGCTGAGCAGACCCATCAATTATTGACACTCTCTGTGAGGGGCATGAAGAATTAATGGGATAGGGGTGAGGATGGCAGGGACTTGCCACATAATTGCAGCTAGCTCACCAGAGCCACCTCCTGTGTTTTCAGGAATTTTGCTATCGGGTTGTTAAATGCAGCCATTACTTAATGTGGGAGAATATAAACTTATACTTTTTTTTTTTTTTTTTTTTGAGACGGAGTCTCGCTCTGTCGCCCAGGCTGGAGTGCAGTGGCCGGATCTCAGCTCACTGCAAGCTCCGCTTCCCGGGTTCACGCCATTCTCCTGCCTCAGCCTCCCGAGTAGCTGGGACTACAGGCGCCCGCCACCTCGCCCGGCTAGTTTTTTGTATTTTTTAGTAGAGACGGGGTTTCACCGTGCTAGCCAGGATGGTCTCGATCTCCTGACCTCGTGATCCACCCGTCTCGGCCTCCCAAAGTGCTGGGATTACAGGCTTGAGCCACCGTGCCCGGCCTATAAACTTATACTTAAGGCTGGGCATGGTGGCTCCCACCTGTAATCCCAGCAGTTTGGGAGGCCGAGGCGGGTGGATCACTTGAGGCCGGGAGTTCGAGACCAGCCTGGCCAACATGGCCAAAGCCCATCTCTACTGAAAAAAAAAAAAAAAAAAAAAAAAAAATTAGCTAGGCATGGTGGCGCGCTCCTCTAATCCCAGCTACTAGGGAGGCTGAGGTAGGTTAATCTTTTGAGCACGGGAGGCGAAGGTTGCCGTGAGCCAAGATGGTGCCACTGCACTCTAGCCTGGGTGACAGAGTGAGACTCTGTCTCAAAAAAAAAAAAAAAAGGACCAGGCACAGTGGCTCACGCTTGTCATCCCAGCACTTCGGGAGGCCAAAGCGGGCAGATCACAAGGTCAGGAGATGGAGACCATCCTGTGAATGGTGAAACCCCGTCTCTACTAAAAATACAAAAAATTAGCCGGGCATGGTGGCAGGTACCTGTAGTCCCAGCTACTTGGGAGGCTAAAGCAGGAGAATCACTTGAACCCGGGAGGTGGAGGTTGCAGTGCGCCGAGATCGCACCACTACACTGCAGCCTGGGTGACAGAGTGAGACTCCGTCTCCAAAAAAAAAAAAAAAAGAATATAAGGACCAGGGAAATAATCAAGGGAGCCAGAGAGTTGGTGCCTGATCACCCATTTTGCAGATGGGAAAGCTATCCTCATGCATGGGATCTGTCGAGGGTCACAGCAGGGAGACCTCAGCGCTGTGGATGGACCTGGATGGGCTGTGGACAGGGCTGAAGCCTCCTGGCTGTTCCTGTAACAAGCGAGACACAGCCCTGCCCCAGGGCCTTTGCACAGGCCGCGCCCTTTGCCTGGAGCATCTTCCCACAGACCCTGTCATTGCAGGCCCAGCTCCACCGGCCCAGCCCCTCCCTAGAGAGGCTCTCCTGGTTACCCTGACCTTCATCCCCTGCCCCCATGGCCCATATCTCTCTCCCTCAAATTAACTTGTTGGTTTCTATTTATTGGTTACTGGCACCTCCTCCTTCCAGCAAGGGAACCCAGTGAGACGGAGTCTTACTCTTGTCACCCAGGCTGGAGTGCAGTGGCGCAATCTCAACTCTCTTAAACCTCCGCCTCCCAGGTTCACGCCATTCTCCTGCCTCAGCCTCCCGAGTAGCTGGGGAGTACAGGCGCCTGCCACCACACCCAGCTAATTTTTTGTATTTTTAGTAGAGATGGGGTTTCACTGTGTTCTCCAGGATGGTCTTGATCTCCTGACCTTGTGATCCGCCTGCCTCGGCCTCCCAAAGTGCTGGGATTACAGGCATGAGCCACCGCGCCCAGCCTAATTTTAGTACTTTTAGTAGAGACAGGGTTTCACCATGTTGGCCAGGCTGGTCTCGAATTCCTGACCTCAGGTGATTCACCCGCCTCAGCCTCCCAAAGTGCTGGGATTACAGGTGTGACCCACTGCATCCGGCCAACAGTATTTCTTAGAGGGCCAATTTAGACATTTGGAAGCTTTCTTTTTTTTTGAGACGGAGTCTTACTCTGTCACCCAGGCTGGCGTGCAGTGGCGCTGCTGTATCCCGGGTGACTTTGTGGTCTCTTCTGCAAAACAGGCCACCTGGCCAGTACCAGGTGAGAATGACAAATAGGCACACGTCACCGGTTCAGGACATTGGGGTTTGGCCACGAGCTTCTGCCCCAGGACAGTTGGTGCTCCATAAATGCTTGTCAAGCCACTGAATGGGTGTTAACACCCGAGTCCCAGAAGCTGTAGCGGGCTGTGTGTGCTTGTGATGACAGGGTGCCCTGGCATTTGGAGGGCGATGCCCCTAGGCCCCAGGCAGTCCTTGGGAAGGCCCCTGCCCTGTAAGGGCTGATGCAGCTGCTACACCGCCTCCTGCAGGAAGGAAGACCCAGGTTTATTTTGGTCCTCGGCTGTTCCCCTGGGAGAGCAGTCATCCTCCTGTCTGGCTGCCTGGATGGGAGCGTTTCTGGCAGAACAATGGGTCAGGGAGGAGGAAGGGGAAGGCCAGGCAGCTGGGCCGCGCCAGGTGTCAGCAGGACCGGGGCTGCCCCGATGGTCTTCGGAGTGTGGGGTCAGGAAGGGAGGCTACAGCTGCTTGCCCCCGTCCCTCTTCCTGTTGGCCTTGTAGGGGGTGGGGGTTGCTCTTGGAAGCCCAGGCCCTTCCTGAAGCTGTAAACAGGCCTGACTCCCCTCCAGAATCAACTTCTCCAGCCTCACGACTCGTGGATGGGAAAGTCAAGGCCCAGAGAGGGGCACAGCCCCGCCTGGGGTCACACAGCTCCTGAGATGGGCAGAAAGATGTGGGTTCCAGGGCCGATGGGGTCCAGGGACCTCATCCCCAGATGTAGAGAAAGGCGTTTTCCTCTTTGAGTCCCCTCGGTTTGTTCATCTATGAATTGGGGAGACGGGACCCGGGGGTTCGGGAATTCCCTCTTGAAATATGCAGACACCTTTTCTTTTTTTTTTTTTTTGGCGATACAGTTTCGCTCTCATTGCCCAGGCTTGGAGTCCAGTGGAATGATCTCAGCCGACTGCAACGTATGCCTCCTGGGTTCAAGCGATTCTTCTGTCTCAGACACTCAAGTAGCTGGGACTACAGGAGCCCACCACACCACGCCCGGCTAATTTTTGTAGTTTTAGTAGAGATGGGGTTTCACCATGTTGCCCAGGCTAGTCTCAAACTCCTGACCTCAAGTGATCCACCCGCCTCAGCCTCTCAAAGTGCTGGGATTACAGGTGTGAGCCACCGTGCCCAGCCATGTGCGGCTTGTTTTTTTTTTTTGAGACGGAGTCTCGCTCTGTTGCCCAGGCTGGAGTGCAGTGGTGCAATCTCGGCTCACTGCAACCCCCGCCTCCCGGGTTCAAAGCAATTCTCCTGCCTCAGCCTCCCGAGTAGCTGGGACTATCAGCCACCACACCCGGCTAATTTTTTGTATTTTTAGTAGAGATCGGGTTTCACCGTGTTAGCCAGGATGTTCTGGATCTCCTGGCCTGGTGATCTGCCCGCCTCGGCCTCTCAAAGTGCTGGGATTACAGGCGTGAGCCACCCCGCCCCGCACAAGGAATCTCACTGAGATAGAACTAGGTTTGCAAATTCACACAGCTGAGAGGCACAGAAGGGCGGAATTCCAGGCACTGGTTGCAGCCTCTTCAGAGGAAGCTCACAGCTTAGTGGGGATTGGGGGTTTGGTCACAAGCTTCTGCCCCAGGACAAAGTTAGTTCTGATCTTCCCCGTATTTCAGATGGGGAAACTGAGGCCCGTTGTTAAGTTGCTTCCTGCAGAGGCCAGAGCTGGGAGCAGGCCCTAAATATCAGGGTTGCCCTCTAAGACTCAGGGCCAGTTGAGGGTGTTAGATGGGGAAGGCAGAGGGAGTTGGGGTTCAAGGGCGTTGGGAGCCAGTGGTCACTGTATTGCTGTGTGGCCTTGGGGAAGTGGCTCAGCCTCTCTGAGCCTTTGTGGTCTCTTCTGCAAAACAAGCAACCTGCCTAGTACACGGTGGGGGTGATGAAGTGGGCATGTCGCTGACTCAGGGCCTACCACGTGGCGCTGAGTCAATAGTACCCCTTTTCTGACCCAGGCCTGCGCAGAGCCAGGGTCTGGTGACCGAGGTCGGAGGGCAGGGGGTGGCCCATCCAGTAATTCCCGTGCCTGCCCTGACCTCAGAGGGCGGCCGAGGGTTTGGAACTTCTCCCGGAGTCTGAACTCACACAAAGACCAGCTTTGTGGGGGCTCCTGGGGTAGGTGGGTGCCCATATGGCATTCTGAGACTGGCAGCCTGGCGCTGGGGTGGGAGTGGAGGCTGAGCAGGGCCTGGGGCAGTGAGGGAGACCGGGGGCGGGTCTCAGGCCCTCCCTCCTCCCCCAGTTCTTTCACACTCCCCTCTTCATTCAGCAGATGTTTCTGGAGTCTTCAGGGACGCTGTGGATAAGGAATCGGGCCCATGACCTCCCCTGCAGCTTGGGGTGAGGCAGACCAATGGGGGTGCAGAGCCGGGGAGCAGAAGAGCAGTGGGGATGCCTGGAACACCTGCATCTCAGAGGAGGCAGAGACTTGGGGGCCAAAGTGATGGGGATGTATAGGAGTTTACCAGGGAAGAGGCAGGTGCTTCGGGACCAGGGCTTTGGGGATGTATAGGAAGGAGTTCACCTGGGAAGAGGCAGGGGCTTAGGGGCCAGGGCTTTGGGGGATGTATAGGAGTTCACCAGGGAGGAGACAGGGTCTTAGGGTATTGGGGTCCACAGGGAAGAGTCAGGGCTCCAAGTGAGGTATGGGGCTTGGTCCTGGGAGCTTCGGGGAGCTGCCAGCTGGTTCTCAGCAGGTAAGGGCTATGCCCCACTCTGAGATTTAGGAAGAATTCCGGAGCTGCAGGAAGAGGGTGGGTGGAGGGGGAAGCTCCAGGGCCGGGGAAATTGGGCAGGCTACAGGGCAGAGTGGACAGAGAAAAGGAGCAGACAGGGACAGGGGGGTGGCTCTGCAGTCAGAGGCCTGGCTCTTGTGCCTCAAGAGCTGGCCAGCCTCTCACCTTGGCCACCTCCCCTGCCCCAGCCTGGACGGGGGCTGTCCAAGTCAGTGTTTCCCTGTTGGAGGAATCATCAGAGCCATGCCTTCCCAGAAACCCCACAAATGTCTGCCTGTGAACACATCACCCCCTGGCTCACTTGGAGTCGAAGGCCTTAGGCATGCCTGTGATAAACCCTGTAGGGGCCGGGCATGGTGGCTCACGCCTGTAATCTCAGCACTTTGGGAGGCTGAGGCGGGCGGATCATGAGGTCAGGAGACTGAGACCATCCTGGCTAACACGGTGAAACCCTGTCTCCACTAAAAATACAAAAACTTAGCCGGGCATGGTGGCGCATGCCTGTAGTCCCAGCTACTAAGGAGGCTGAGGCAGGAGAATTGCGTGAGCCCGGGAGGCGGAGCTTGCAGTGAGCCGAGATTGCACCATTGCACTCCAGCCTGGGCGACAGAGCGAGACTCCGTCTCAAAAATAAATAAACAAACCCCGTGGGGGCAGTGGGGCTGAAGGCACTGCCATAGTAACGGGGCTCCTCCACCCTGAGCAGCCTGGAGTCTGGGGCTTACTTGGAACCCCATCTCACGGAGCTGTGGGGTGAGGGTGGGGAGTGTTGAGCTGGACCTAGGGGTATGGAATGGAACCCCCTGTAATGATCACCTTGAGCCTCTTCTCAGCTCATAGCAAGGATATGGTAGGTTTGAGGGCTGGTGTCAGGCCCTACAGATAGTGGGTTTCAGAAGGGCCTTCTCTGTTTGTTTGTAATAATAATCAAATAATAAATAAAAAATAAATTTTTTGATTTTGTTTTGTAGAGATAGGGTCTTGCTATGTTGCCCAGCCTGATCTCAAACTCCTGGCCTCAATTCACCTGCCTCAACCTCCCAAAGCACTGGGACCACAGGCATGAACCACAGGCTTGAATTACAGGCTGGAGTGCAGTGGCATGGACTCAGCTCACTGCAACCTCCGCCTCCCGGGTTCAAGAGATTCTCCTGCCTCAGCCTCCCAAGTAGCTGGGATTATGGGCTCCCACCACCAAGCCTGGCTAATTTTTGTATTTTTAGTAGAGACAGGGTTTCACCATGTTGGCCAGGCTGGTCTCGAACTCCTGACCTCAGGCGATCCGCTGGCCTTGGCCTCCCAAATTGCCGCGATTACAGCCGTGAGCCACTGCGTCCAGCATGACACTTTTTAAAGAAACAAATTCTGTTAGGCCCTCTGGGGTCTGTGGTGGTGTCACCTCTTCTGTGTGAGTGCCCCAACGTGCGAAACTGATGGCTGGTCCCTGTCCCCTGCAGGCCATGGACACCTTCAGCACCAAGAGTCTGGCTCTGCAGGCGCAGAAGAAGCTCCTGAGTAAGATGGCATCTAAGGCAGTGGTGGCCGTGCTGGTGGATGACACCAGCAGCGAGGTGCTGGACGAGCTGTACCGCGCCACCAGGGAGTTCACGCGCAGCCGCAAGGAGGCCCAGAAGATGCTCAAGAACCTGGTGAAGGTGGCCCTGAAGCTGGGGCTGCTGTTGCGCGGGAACCAGCTGGGCGGGGAGGAGCTGGCGCTGCTGCGGCGCTTCCGCCACCGGGCGCGCTGCCTGGCCATGACGGCCGTCAGCTTCCAGCAGGTGGACTTCACCTTCGACCGGCGTGTGCTGGCCGCAGGGCTGCTCGAGTGCCGCGACCTGCTGCACCAGGCCGTGGGCCCCCACCTGACCGCCAAGTCCCACGGCCGCATCAACCACGTGTTCGGCCACCTGGCCGACTGCGACTTCCTGGCCGCGCTCTACGGCCCCGCCGAGCCCTACCGCTCCCACCTGCGCAGGATCTGCGAGGGCCTGGGCCGGATGCTGGACGAGGGCAGCCTCTGAGCCCCGGGGCCGCCCGACCGCGCCCCTCGCGCCTTCTGGGGCTCTTCTGCTGGGCGCGGTGGGCTTTGTGGGTTTTTTCCACCTCTTTTCTCCCAATCGGACTCCGGTCGAACTCCCCCAGACAGGTGGGTGACCTGGCCCCTTTGAGAGGACGCTGAGCCATCTGTAGCAGCTGTTTCAGACACCGACGTCACTTCTCCTGGCCTCCGCCCAATGGGGAGAGGAATTTGGGGCCCTACTCTGGAGACCACCTTCCACCCCTATTTGTACTTTCTGGGCCACGCCGACCCCTGGGTCGCTTGATGTAAAAGTCAAAAGTTGCTGCTTCCCACTTGGTGACGTCGCCTGGGATTTTCATCCCCGCACACAAGGACTAGTTAGGGGGCAAATCGCGGCACCCCACCCCCACCCCCCGCCCCATCCATAAATTCACGTCCTAACCCCCAGGACCGGAAGATGATCTGATTTGGAAATAGGATCATTACAAATGGGATTAGTTCAGAGGATGTCATCTTGGAGTAGGGTGGGCCTCAATTCAAGGACTGGGGTCCTTAAAAAAAGTGGGCTCTGGGCAGGGCCCGGTGGCTCACGCCTGTAATCCCAGTACTTTGGGAGACCGAGGTGGGCGGATCATGAGGTCAGGAGATCAAGACCATCCTGGCTAATACGGTGAAACCCCATCTCTACTAAAAATACAAAAAATTAGCCAGGTGTGGTGGCGGGTGCCTGCAGTCCCAGCTACTCGGGAGGCTGAGTCAGGAGTATTGCTTGAACCAGGAGGTGGAGCTTGTAGTGAGCCAAGATCGTGCCACTGCACTCCAGCCTGGGTGATAGGGCAAGACTCCAACTCAAAAAAAAAAAAAAAAAAAGCGGGGGAATTGGGGCCAGGTGCAGTGGCTCACTCCTGTAATCTCAGCACTTTGGGAGGCTGAGGCAGGAGGATTGCTTGAGCTCAGGAGTTCAAGACCAGCCTGGGCAAGATGCTGAGATCCCTGTATCTACAAAAAAAAAAAAAAAAAAAAAAAAGAAGGCAGGTGCGTGGCTCACGCCTGTAATCCCAGCACTTTGGGCTCAAGGCGAGGCGGATCACGAGTCAGGGAGAATCGAGACCATCATAAAACTAAACTATCGTCAGAGCCCTCATCTCTGCTAAAAATGCAAAAGAAATTAGCTCTGGGTATGAGTGGAAGCCATATAGTCGGCTTCTCACGAGGAAAATAGAGCGAAATCCGGTATGAACCGGAAAATCAGGAGGCTTGCAGTAGGCGAGATCATGCACTGCACTCCAGCCTGGCAAGCGAGACTCCATCTCCAAAAAAAAAAAAAAAAGAAAAAAAAAGAAAGGAGGTATTGTAGTGGGCTGAGGAGTGGTGGCTCCCAGCGCCTGGGAGGCTGGGGCAGGCGAGATCACAGGTCAAGAAGATAAAAAAAAAAAAAAAAAGAAAAAAAAGAAAATTATTGTGGTGGGCTGAGGGTGGTGGCTCCCAGCACTTTGGGAGGCTGAGGCAGGCAGATCACAAGGTCAAGAGATCAAGACCATCCTGGCCAACATGGTGAAACCGTCTCTACTAGAAATACAAAAATTAGCCAGGCGTGGTGGCGGGCGCCTGTGGTCCCAGCTACTGGGGAGGCTGAGGCAGAAGAATCGCTTGAACCTGGGAGGCAGAGGTTGCAGTGAGCCAAGATTGCACCACTGCACTCCAGCTTGGTGAAAAAGTGAGATTAGTCTCAAAAAAAAAAAAAAAAAAAAAATTTATTGTGGTGGTGTGCATCTATAGTCCCAGCTACTTGAGAGACTGAGGGAAGATCACTTGAGCCCAGGAGTTAAAGGCTGCAGTGACCAATGATCGTGCCACTGCACTCCAGCTTGGGTGAGGGTGGGTCCGTCTTCAAAAAAAAAAAAAAAAAAGGATTTGGACACAGACATCCATGCAAGGAAGGCCAAGGATGCCAGGGACCTAGCCCTGGCCACACCTTCATCTCAGACTTGTGGTCCAGAGAACTGAATGAGAACAAATGTGCATGAAGCCCGTCAGTCCATAGGACTTGGTCCTGGAAGCCCCCACTCAAGAAGGCTCCAGTGAATGCTGGCACATTCAGCCAGGATGCCTCCATGACGCTGGAGACCTCTGCCCTGGGTCGGGAGAACAGCTCCAATCCAGGGACTTTCACGTGGGAGGGGACGGAGCGTGCCCCCCACCCAGGGGTAGGGGAAACCACCTGAGAAGAATGCACATTTTATTTATTGTTTTGAGACAAGGTCTCGCTGTGTCACCCAGGCTGGAGTGCAGCGGTGCAATCTCGGCTCACTGCAGCCTCGTCCTCCCAGGCTCAAGTGATCCTCGGCTGGGACTACAGGCGTGCACCACCACACCTGGCTAATCTTTGTATTTTTTGTAGACACAAGGTCTCACCATGTTGCCAGGATGGTCTCAAACTCCTGGGCTCAAGCGATCTACCTCCCTCAGCCTCACAAAGTGTGCCCGTTTGTAATATTGTGATTTCATGTTTGGAGAATCAGCAACCAACCAGCCAACCATGTTGTTTTTGTAAGACAGACACAAGAAAGCAAAGCTCGGCCGTCATCTTGGCTCTGGTACTACCCAGAGCCGCTGCGATTCTTAGCTCCGGGCGTGGAGGCGTGCTGTGGCGGAGTCTATTTGCCATTTTTGTTTCTCAGCAGGGGGCATGGGTTCTCAAAGGTTGCAAAATGGTGCTGCGGGTCAGGAAGGTTATTTTGGGTGCCTGTGGGGGAGGGGAAACGAGGTCCCATGACTGTTTTGTAGAACCTAGTCTGTAGCGGGTAGAGGTTGCCGCAGGGGCCTGTGGGCCTTACTCGGTGAGAAGGTAGGTCTAGCCGGCTCCATCCAGTATTTGAGACATTTGAAATGTGCCAGCATTTAAAAACCAAGACCACACACACCCGTCCGGATTTGGAGTTTCTCTTGCAAACTCGCCAGTCGGGGCCATCCGAGCCTGCACTGACCCCTGGTGAAGCTGTGCAGGGGCTGCCCCTCTCCCTTTTGCCAGTCCTCTCCACTTCCTTTCGCCTCTCCCTGGCCTGCCGTACTTACTGATAGGAAATCCTGACCGCAGACTCGGAGCAGGTTTCCTGTGGTTTCGTTTTTGCTTCCGCGAAAAAGCCAAAGGTCTTGGCCAGAGAGCCAGCTGTTCCTACCTCTACCCCACGCTTCCAAGGCAACCTTCTCTGCTTATCTTAGGCCGCGAGACAGACCTTCAAGAACTTACGTGGATTCTGATTCTCTCACGAAGCCCCGATGGAACCCTGTGCTGTTGAGACATCAATGTGCAAAACTCTACGTGTCCCTGCTGGGCTGTCCAGCCAGTCTGGACTCTTGTAAATTTGAGATTTAATTAAAGGAAACAAACCAAATAGAACTACGGAACAAATTTTTTTTTTTTTTTTTGAGACGGAGCCTCGTTCTGTTGCCCAGGCTGGAGTGCAGTGGCGCAATCTCGGCTCACTGCAAACTCCGCCTCCCGGGTTCACACCATTCTCCTGCCTCAGCCTCCCAAGTAGCTGGGACTACGGGTGCCTGCCACCACGCCTGGCTAATTTTTTTTGTATTTTTAGTAGAAACAGGGTTTCACCATGTTTGCCAGGATGGTCTCGATCTCCTGACCTCGTGATCCACCCGCCTCGGCCTCCCAAAGTGCTGGCATTACAGGTGTGAAGTGAGCCACTGCGCCCAGCTGGAACAATTTAAATAAAAGCACACACCAGCCTGGGCACAGTGGCTCATACCAGTAAACCTAGGGCTTTGAGAGGCCGAGGCAGGAGGATCACTTGAGCCAAGGAGTTCGAGACCAGCCTGGGCAACATAACAAGACCCTATCTCTAAAAAATATAAGACTGAGTGTGGTGGCTCATGCCTGTAATCCCAGCACTTTGGGAGGCTGAGGCAGGCGGATCACCTGAGGTCAGGAGTTCAAGACTAGCCTGGCCAACATGGTGAAACCCGGTCTCTACTAAAAAGTACAAAAATTAGCCAGGCGTGGTGGCAGGTGCCTGTAATCCCACCTACTTGGGAGGCTGAGGCAGGAGAATCACTTGAATGTGGGAGGCGGAGGTTGTAGTGAGCTGAGATCGTGCCATTGCAATCCAGCCTGGGCAACAGAGTGAGACTTGGTCTCAGAAACAGAATTAAAAAAATTATAGCCAGTCAGGGCGGCATGCACTTGTGGTCCCAGCTATCTGGGAGGATGGCTTAGACCCAGGAGGTTGAGGCTGCAGTGAGCTGAGATCACACCACCGCACTCCAGCCTGGGTGATGGAGCAAGATTCCGTCTCAAAAACAAACAAAACAAAAAAGTACACACATGTACATGTGGGCTCAGAGGCGAAGCTCCTGTGTATCCTGAGACTGTCTGACGTGTGCTGGTGCATCAGGCCGCCCAGGCATCATCCTTGATGCCCGCAGCCACGGATCCGGAAGCTGTGGGTGATTCCCAGCTGACCATGGCAGAGACCCCCACCCTTGGCCAAGGTGTAGGCGGTGGGCACCATTTCCCATGGCCTTTTCTGCACAGGAGGCTCTGGCAACCCTGTTGTGCTTATTTTCTGGGCCCTGTGGAGCCTCAGAGTCGAGAGCTGGAAAGGCTCCTGGCCCCGGAGGGGTCCCCAGACCTCAGAGCACTGCCATTCTTGGTCTAGAGGCCCTTCCTGCTGACGTGTGCTGCTGTCAGGCCTTTCCTCACGTGGTGGCATCACGTGTGCAGTGGGAAGGCTGGCTGGTTTTCTTTTTTTTGAGACACGGTGTCGCTCTGTAACCCAGGCTGGACTGCAGTGGTGCGATCTTGGCTCACTGCTGCCTTGGATTCCTGGGTTCAAGCGATTCTCCTGTCTCAGGCTCCTGAGTAGCTGGGATTACAGGTGTGTGCCACCACGCCTGGCTAATTTTTAAATGATTGATTTTTTTGTAGAGATGGGGGACTTGCTATGTTGCCCAAGCTGGTCTTGAACTCCTAGTGTCAAGTGATTCTCCTGCCTTAGCCTCTCAAAGTGCTGGAATTTATAGGCATAAGCCATCACGTCTGGCTTGTTTTTGTTTTTTAGTCACTGTGTTGCAACCCAGCTTCAAAAAACTAAGGGAGGCTGGCCAAAGTGGCTCATGTCTCTAATCCCAGCACTTTGGAAGGCCAAGGCAGGTGTGGATCGCTTGAGCCCAGTTCAAAACCAGCCTGAGTAACCCGGCAAAACCCCGTATCTATCAAAAAAAGAGACAAAAATGAGCCAGGCATGGTGGCGCGTGCTTGTAGTCCCAGCTACTTGGAAAGCTGAGGTGGGAGGATCACTTGAGCCCGGGAGATGGAGGTTGCAATGAGCCGTGATTATGCCACTGCACTCCAGCCTGGGTGATGGGAAGACCCTGTCTTAAAAGAAAAAAAAAAAAGGCCGGGCGCAGTGGCTCACGCCTGTAATCCCAGCACTTTGGGAGGCCGAGGCGGATGGATCACCTGAGGTCAGGAGTTCAAGACCA